TTACCCTCCTTCTGAATTTGTTTTCCAAACCTCTTCCATTGATGAATCACACACGACCAGTTTTTATTATATGTGCGAAGGCATATGATTAAGGAGCCCTGTTTCAGTTTCTCCGCATCTGTTCCCTCGTTTGCTCCCAAACTAGCTTTTTTTTTTTTGTAGCGCAGAGAAGGCGAGTTAACACCACCTGCCTAGTTGTCGGGAACGATGTTAGTACAGCCTTTTGCTTGAGAAGGTGTGTGAGATGGTTGACTGGGGCCCCTCCTTGTGAGAAACTGATCCCTTGCAGCAACCTTTGAAGTCACGCGGGAGCTGCACGATCACAGCAAGTTCAGGCACGGGGCACCGTGTGAGTGGTTTGAATTAGGAGTGAAGTCCTCCTCCATCCTGTGTTCAGCCTGGCTGCCAAAGTGTTGCGTCTCACGATGGAAGCACAATGAAACCGTGGCTGAACTCGTCAGTCCTTACCTGCTTACTTCCAGCTCGCTTGCCAAAATCCTCCAGCGCTTGTTTTCTCTGAGGTACGGCTGTGAAGTTCAACAGAAGTTAAAGTGTACGCTTAGCTCTGGGCCAGAATCCTGTGTTGTTCTTACAGATACAAAGGGGGTTCCTGAGCTCCAGCAGTTGCTCCTTTGTGCTACAGAGGAACGTGCTGTCTTCCATTTCCTTCAACTAGAAGAGGGCAGGGATTAAAGGCTTTACTGCACTGATAAGCACACTTTCCTCTCCCTGTTAGCTAAAACTTGGCCAACTTACCTCTAAAACAGCCAGAAGGTTGATGTTTTTCCTCCCAGTTGTTCTCTGGGGGCCCAGGCTGAGGATGAAAGTGCTGGAGAGAGGGGAGGGCGATTACTGTTTACAGCTGTGCGTGCCAATGGTGTGATGCTGCATGCCACCAGTTTTGGGTGATATTTTTGGAGATCAGTATACCGTATAGCATTTGCAATATCACATATGCATAAAAATTCAGACTCCTCCTTTGCTTCTCCCAACACAACAGGGCTTTTCCCGCTGTGGTGCATCTCCTACTCTGATACTAAACCTTCTAGGCAGAATTCTACAATTTCCTAAAACAAGTTATCCTGTGCCAAATAGATTTTGGCATTAGGAAACTTTTCTCTGTACTTATTGCTCTTTGAATATCGTTGTCAAATACATATAGATGGTTACATTCCTGTGCCACTTATCTCCTATACTATGATATAGGAGTTCCCCCTTAGCATCGTCTGTGCTGCCTTCAGGCTGTTGAATCTCTCTGAGCGTCTCCTGCTTTCTTTGAGAAAGAAGATCAGCATTAGCTGCGTTGTTGACCCAAACTGATTGCGTGGTCTGTTTTGGGCCTGTCAAGAATAATACAGTGGCCCATGCTTCTCTGTAAAAAACACATTTTTTTTTTTCTTTTTGCCTTTGAGCAGCCACAGTCAATACTGTGAAGACAAGAAGTGAGAAGCAAAACTTGGCGCATGCATGGTACTTGTGTTACACCCCACTGCTGCTGTGAGGCTGTATCCCAAGGGTGTGCGCTGATGCTGGGAGGTACCGACATCGCTGGAGCCTTGCCGGCATGCAGTCAGGGCCTGGGCCGCCAGCCAGCCATTGCTAGATAGGATTATCCCTTCCATGGCTGGAGGGCCGGTCCTTCGGCAGCTGCTTCCTTTCGAAGTGCTTGAATCTTATTAAATAGCGGAGCATAGCGAGAAGTCTTCTCGGTCTGTGAAAGGAGGTGCTAGCGATAGAAGCTCTTCAGTGACTGAAGAGATTGAAGGAGGGCTTATATTGGGAGTTCCTCTTCTTGGGGAAGAAGTAGGATACCACACTCCTCATTTGTGGCTATCTGGTTTCAGATGGTTTTGGGCATATTTCTGCGTGCCCAGCTGTGGCTGCAGTTGCTTGCTGGGTCAGTAAGGTTATCCTGGAGCGAGTGCTATTTCTATAGCTGCACCGCAAAGCGTGAAGGCAGTAATGAAGGTGTAAAGCAGGAACATGGGGAACCATGCTGCAAGGGTGGCTGAGGTTAGCCCCAGGGCCCAGGCTTAGCAAACCGCTTGCTGTGCACGTCAGCTCAGCATGTGAGCGTCCGTCTGGCTGCATGGGCATCATGGTTGTGGTCCAGCAAGTGCGAGGAGCTCTTAACAGGAGTTAACTGCCACCAGCACGAGGCCCCTCCATGTTGTGTGACCGTGGTACGGGGCGTCTGTGTGATGGTGAGAGGAAGCACGTCCCGTCAGGTGGGGGTTGCAGTTTGGGAGCTGCTCGATTGCCTGACCCTGGGCAGGCTCATGGGAGGGTAGGTCTGCGGTCAGACATTTTCCATTCGTTTTCTAGGTCAGAGATTATTTTCCGTTTCAGGCATGTTCCATGTACCTGCGAGTTGATCTCAGATATTGCGTTGGCTGCTACTTAGCTGGTCAAATTTCATCTTTAAAGGAGATCGCAGCAGCAGGTCCAAAATCCAGACTTTTACCAGTGGTCTATTTATTTTAATTATTTAATTGCATTGTATCTTCTCTTTTGTTGCTGATGTTGCTATCAATTTAAGACCAGAGAAACTCTGAAGACTGGTTTAACCTCTTCTATAGGACAAGATTTCACTATCAGTTCTGCATCCAGTGTGGTGCCAGTGTGCCAAAGTCTCAGCAGCTCCTGGCATGCTGGGGCTTCAGTCCTCATTTTGGAGCCTTTCAACTGTAATTTTTCATTTGATTCTGCTCACACGTGCTGTGAGAAGATCTTGAGTGTAGCTAGATCCTCTCTGTTAAGTGCTCTTGAACTGTGGTATAATATGAGCGCAGCTGCTTAGGTGATGTAGGGGATTTAACTGGTCTTCAATCTTGAAGTCTGGAGGGGAGAGAGATTGTTTTACAATCCTCGTAAATCTCCTATTACTTTCAGAATTATTTTGTTGCTGTTTTGTAAGACTCTGCTACCCTGGGCAGAGGAATCCCATTTGCGGTGATGGAGAGCAAGGTGAGTTGCAGAGTTTGGACCAGTTTTTGTTTGTGCCCTATGTTGAAGGTGGATGATGCTTCTGTTGCATCTCCTGGTCTCAGCCCAGCTACTTGTCTCTTGACAAGCCTTTACTTTGAAGACTAAACAAGGAGTGCAGGATTTGCTGCACATCCCATTGGAGACCATGTACGTCGGAAGAAGGGAGGAAGGATCCTCTTTGTGAATGTGAAAGCAGGAATTTAATGTATTGCTGTGTGTGGAGGCTGGCAGAAAAATGATAAGCACTGAAGAATGATTTTTGGAAACCTAAGTAAGTAAGGATTTTCCCATGAAATCTGAATTCTTGATATCCCATAAATCAATTTGGGTGACTAGATATGTGTATATATATTATAGATACTATATATTTTTGAAATAACCATTTATTTACAAAGTTGCATATCTCTCCAGTGAAGTGAAATGTAGGCAAAAATGATGCATGATATTGCTGGAGTTGAAGTTTATTTGGGGAATGTCTTCCATATTAATGGAGACAGAGGGCTGTTCAAACGCAGCTTCCTAAAACCAGTGTAGTAAGCAGCCCAAGCAAACATGAAAATTAATATTGAATCAAAGCTAAATATTTAATTTAAATTTTCCCCATGAGATTGATTTGTTGTTTGTTTGGGTTTTTTTAGTGGAAAATATAGTGTCCATAAAATCAACATTCTGGTAGGACATTCCCAGGCAGTTCTAGCTTCTGTTTTTATCCCATTGATAGAGATGTGTCACTTCTGGACTCTAGCTGGAGTTGTGTGATTAGGATGTTATTTCATCCTTTCTCTCAAAATACTTGCTCTGCTCATCCTAACAAATTCCCAATAGTTTAACAAACAATTTCTCTACTTCTGCAACAAATTATAGACTAGGGAAATGTATATCATCCTTCCTTGCAGGACCAGGAAATATTTTTTCTACTCCGTAGTGTGCACACCAATGTGTATTAAATTGTGGGCACCTCTGTGATGAAACTCGGTGCTGCTGATGGAGGAGACTTGCTTCTATTTCTGCCAGACCAAGGAAAGTTGGCTGTACGTGAGCAGAGAGGGTTTGAACGATCATGTTTAGTCATTCCTCCAGAGAGCTCTATTTTCAGAATTTCTGTTCTGCACAGATTATTGATACTCACGAGGTGTGAAGCTCCTCTTTGCTAATTTTAACCTTGCAGTTTGGGGGTGTATGGGGTGTGTGTGTGTGTGCGCCTTTTTTAAATTTTTTTTTTAAAGTGAGGTTTCTGTGTGACAGCCTGACTCGAACTTCAGGGGACCTTAGCTGTGATTTTTGCTAAAAACTAGCTGGTGAACAAAAAAACCAGGAGCAAGACCTTAATTTAAAATGTAACTAAGAATGAGAAAGCTACTAACCAAAAAATAAATACCTTCTTTCAAGGACAGGTTGACCGACACTGGGATTGAATCTCTGATCCCTAAAATTGTATTCTGTATCTCTATCTAATTTAGATTAAATGACAACAAGTCCTTAGGTAACAGCACAGTTTCCTATTTTCTATGTTTAAGGCCAAAAGGTGATTTATGTAAGAAATCAGCATTTACCCCAGCACTGATGTGATTTTGAGAGAGTGAAACAGTTTCAATGGGCTGAGATGTAATAGGAAATATCCACATAATTCACCAAACAGATATGCATGGATCTTTTCAGAGAATTGCATGTGTTTTAGTGTTACTCCCACTTCATTTATCTGACAAATTGGAACACTATTAGCCATATATTTTTTTTCTTTAATCTCTTTTTCCTCTAGCAAGGTTGAGACTGTTCAGCGCTTCTAGGAAAAAGAAGGAATCAAGTTCCTTTTTTTTTTTTTTAAGGAATCCTGAATGTTGAACAATTTGATGCTTGATTTTTTTTTTTTTTTGGTAAAATTAAAGGTCTGCATGAGAATATATATAGAGCTTCAGATGTTATCAAATATTGGCAAGATCTGTCATGCAAAATCCTGAGCAGAGTCTTTGCCTTGAAAAACAATCTTCTAACATTTCATTTACTTTTTTCAGGTGGATTTGGAGCCAGAAGGCAAAGTGTTTGTCGTCATAACTCTTACAGGCAGCTTCACGGAAGGTAAGGGAATTATTTTGGCTTGTTTCCATTAAGAGCTGGACTCTGGCGTATACTCTTGCCGTCAGTTACCAAGCTGTACATAAGTGGATGGTGTTCTTCACATGGGCCATATGCTGTTGTGTGCTGGAGATTTCTTGAGGGATGGGGGAAATCTGGAAGGGGCCATTCATAAGGGCTCACACTGTGCGTGTCTTCTGCTCTGCTTGTGCTCTGGTCTTCAATCTAGGGAGCCGATTCAAGCTTGATCTGGTTTATTTATCTGAAGTTGTCCTTCAAATGGATTGTTTTTGTCACCCGTACTTTTCACCTGAGTGCCTCTTGAAGGGCAAGCTAAGGAGCATGTAGAGCATTTTTAAAATAGAACATGTTTAAAACATCTGGATGATTTTTATTCCATAATGATTCCCATCTACTTGATGTGCATTTCTGTTTCCCGAGCTCACTTTGCACAGGAAACTTTGACGTTTTTTAGTGCGACAGCTGCCCTGAAAAAGTATCTGGGCAGATTTGTTTTCTGTAACTATGTTTTATAGTGTGATGTTTTTAATTTCCCTGTTGTTTGTTATGATACCAGCTATGAGCATGGATGTGAGCTGTGCTGGAGGAACCCAGGAAATCTGAGATGGGGCATAGAAAAAGCTTATTTTTTTCAGACCTATACCGTGGTTCTTAGTTGTTCTAGCTGCAGCCTCAAACCGCATTTGTTGGCGGGTGTTTTCTATACAGAAGCCAAGAATTGAGGCAACATGAGCTCCACTATCTGCTGCCTGGAGCCTGGGGGAGCTGGATATTTAATGCTTTCTTTTGTTTTACCCCAGAAACTGACTGCTTGGCACGAAGGCTGTGCTGGGGGCTGCAGCACGGGCAGCTCACCCTGCAGCCTGCCATGCTCCGTCTTGGACGCGAGGAGGGTGTAAGCTGGAGGGGTGCTTGCTTCAAGGGTTACTCCTGCCTAGCAGTTCTCCTGACTCCCACCTTGTGCTGGGTGCCCAGGCCTGTCAATGCCTCTGCCTTTGTTTTTTCAAATGCAGGTTTGAATACAAGCTTGTGCTTTACTTGGATGTTTTTGGGGAGCTGTCTCACTCTTGCTGAGCCAGCAGCTTGATGTGTGCTGGGGCCTGGGCAGCTGCTTCATGGGGAGCTGCTGCATCAGAGGAGCTGGTGAAGCTTTTGGTTTTCTTTGGGTGCTTTACACCCCAGAAGCGTTCTAGTCCTGGCAGGATAGCTGTTGCCTTTTAAAGCGTTTGAGCCCAATCCAGTCTGTAATCAGCTGAGCCACACCTGAGGGCCCAGCAAGGGTTTGTAGGGAGACGGTGTCCTCCTCTGCAGCAGCAGCACCCTCAGCCCAATGGCATGGAAGTGGTGGCAGGGTTTGCAGACATCCTTCCCCGTGTGCAGCTGGAGCTGCTCTTACTCCTAGGGACCATGGGCAGGGCATAATCCTGCATGCAGGAGATGTGTTAGGAGGGAGACATGAACAGAAAAACTGGCTGGCTTTGACTCCTAAGGAAATGTACGGTCTCAGAGTGATGGAGAAGATAAGGAGTATCACATCCTGGCACTGCAGCAGTACAGAGAACCAGAACTCACTTTCCAGTGAAGTTCACTTTCTATGTAAAGTTGGGCAGGCCATGTAGCTTCACTGCAACTCTCAGTCCTCTATCTGTCAACTAGCAATGCATGTTTTACTCTGTGCAGGTGTTAACTCTGGGGTCTGGGAACTACTCTCACATTTATCCACGTGTAAAATGTTAACAGGTCATTTACCCTTTCTCCTCTAGGGAGATGTTCCCTGCAACTGTGCTTTGACAGGGAAATGTGAAGCTTACTTTTTCAAGTTAATTTGGGAAAAGCTTTCTGTTTGTAAGCAGAGAACAGGGAAAGTGCAAAGGTGTGCTAGAGAGACCTTTTTGTAGGTCCAAGGCAATGCCTCTTAGGCAGCAATAGGGGTGACAAGGACATTAGAAATTGGCTTTAATTGCCTATGATACAGCCGATGATGGAGACAGAGTTGTATTGAGATCAAGAAACTGGAGGGCTTTTACTGACCAGCATGCCAGTTTGTATCCACACGCAAGTGTGTCACGCTTGGCCATTTAAAGCAGGGTTGAGCAGGGGTGGTGGGCTTGAGCATAAATCCAAAGTGTGGTTCAGACTTATGCTGGTGGCTGAGCATTAAGGCGTGTTGCTAACAAGGTCTCAAAGATGAGAGATGGAGAACTCAAATGTTTGTACCACTACTGCTTTCTGAGGAAAATGGGAAATGCTGGAAATAGTTTACTTCTCTTTACTTTCTTTTCCTCTGTTGTTACAGAGGATGCGTGGACTTACAGAACAGGAAGATCAAAGATGGCTCTTGCGTTTTTTCTTGAATGATTAATCCCATGTGTGGTCACACTTGGGGTTTCCAAGAATAGACATAATCCAGGGCAAACCTGAGTGCAGATACTAACTTCTCCCAGTTGTTGGAAAATGGAGGCATCCATCAGGGAGATGTTTCCTTCTGAAAAATGGTGAGGTCTCTTTATTCTATTTTTCTCTCTTCTTTTTTTTTGCTGGAAATGTGGAGGCTCAGAATTGTACTTGGAATTAAAGTTTTTGGAAAGAAGTTTAAGAGTAACTCACAACTTGAAAGCACAAACAGTGTCTTCCCACTTGTTTGCACTTGTCTGGAGCTGCCACCACCTCCTCGCTGCTAGTTATGGCTAATGCGGCAGAGGCCGCTTGAAGGCTGCGTGCGTCTCCAGGTACACAGAGAACTCAGTGATTGGTTCGTATTAGACCCCATCAGGGTAGCATGTAGACCTACGTGGAGTTTCAAGCAATATGATGTTTACGACTTTTGGTCATTTTCTTGTGACTTAAGAACAGTTAAGTGTGTGACTCCGATGCGTTTCCTGCCGTGAAAAGAATCCAGCAATGGTGATGTGGTGCTGCAAAAAAAGCCAGACTCCAGCAGGTAAAAAGAGCAACATGGCAGTGTCCGTAGACTGACTCTTCAAGCCACCCACATGCTTTTTTTAGCAGCTCTTGCCTCACTGCTTTCAGTAGACCACGGGGACAGAAGGATAACATGGTGTGAACTGTGGGAAGCATCTCCCTTTGAAAAGCTTCTGAGAGCTCCATTGAGCAAAGGTGGAGGGTCAGCACCTACTGCTAGTCCTCATGCTACCAACACGTCATTCATTTCAGAGAGATTTTGTGCCAAGCTAGTTGTCTTCTTCATGGAAATAGCCAAATTCATAGAGTCTCAGCCACCACTGTCTAACTCCAGTCAAGTAAAAGCCCAAAAAGTGGCTAAAGAGAGGGAAGGCGGGGGGGGGGAAGGATAAAAAGAAAAAACCCAACAAACAAGCAAGCCTGAGATGTTAGGTCAATCTGAGACTGAATTATTTTGTTGTCCTAGAAAGCTTACCCAAAATAGACAGTCCTGGTGGTGTAGGCAGCTTGTACTTTATTTAGCTTCGGAAGTGGTTGGTTTTCTTGTTTGATCAAAAGTTCTTTTGACCAAAAGTTTAATTTGGTTCCGCTTAGCTACAGTGGGGATGGGAGGGAGAAGGGTGACACTCCTGTGACGGGCACAGTGTGTCCAACAGAAGCATTGATGTACCGTCAGGATGATGGCATTATAGAAAAAGTACAGCTGGAAAGAGGTTAGTCCTTTGTAGGTTCCCATATGGCTCTTCTGACCATCGCTGTTAACCTGCTGTTTTGAGGCAGGGAAATATGCCTGTTTCACATGCTAAAAATACATGTAATTTTTCCGGAAGAGAAGGGAATGGAGCAATAGGAAGCGAGGCAGGTCTAGTGAAATTATCCCTGCCTATCTTTATTTTCTCTGCTGGATATATTTGTTGCTGTGCTAAGCTATATCTGATCATATTAACTCCCCTCATTCAGCCGACATTTCCTGTGTAAAACGACCAGTGCAAAATTAAAATGAAAATCTCCTTACCTCAGGAGGAGATTACTTCTCCAAGCATGACCGTGTCTCTGCTGGCAATGCTGGGTCCCAGTGGCCCCGGCACCCGGCTGGGGTTGAGGGAAGCTCCTTCTCCTCCAGTCATCTCCCTTGTTGACCCAAGAGCTGTTCCACTCCAGGCTGTTTTACAGAGAAAGTGAGGACTGATTCCTGCCTGCCAGAGTTCAGGCATTGCTTAGGGATTGATTTCACCCCAACGCCTTTCTCCCTCAAATGAATTTATTTACTCTTTCCTGGCTTTTCATTGTTTCACCCTGCTTGATAATGGGATTTTTTTCCAAGTCATCAAAATTATGATTTTTTTATAAAATTTCCTTATTCTTTTTACTCTGGGTATTGATATGTTTTGTGGGCTTTTTTTCCCCCAGTATCTTTAGCATTTCTTACCTCTCTCTGTCTCCTTGCCCCTTTCTCTCTTAAAAATAATGAATGTACCTTCTCTGAGAGCTCTATCTTTGCCATGGACATGCCTCATCCATGGACGTGAGGCTCGATGTCAGCTGAGGAGCTGGGGACGGCAGTGGGGCGCAGCCTCCTGTGCGTGGGACCAAGCTGAGCTGGAGCTGTCTGAAGGCAGTTTAGCTCCACCCAACTATGGGGACCACAGGAGCTGTGGTTTAACTGAACCGTTAATGTCCTGCCTTCCTTCCTGTGATGGTCTACATGTGTGCCAGGATTTCTAAAATAATCCACAAGATCTCAACTCTGTTTTAAGCCTCCTTTAAAGGAAAATTTCTGCTTTATTGCTCTCTAAAATGAGATAGAGATATGCAATGCTGCATAGGGTATAAAGTTCCCTAATATTTTTCTTCTTCTCCTAACCCTGGCCATAACCATTTCCAGGTGGACAGCTTCCAAGCAGGGTCGTCTTCCTCACGACTCCTGGGAGCACCCTGTCAGGGAGACACCATTGACTGGGAGCTGTTGTGGTTCTCCAGCACGATGTACCCAGTACCGTTTCCCTGTGCTCTCTCAGGGTATCATGTAGGTCCCCATGGCTCTGGTTGAAGGTGACCTG